TGAGGAACCAGATAGGCACACTTCCTACCTGAGGATTTTTATTCCAGGGATGTAGCTACAAATGCACTTTTGTATCTAACAGCAGGAAGGGAAAAAGCTGTTTGCAAAAGGTGTCCGTTACTCCCTGAAACTTTACTAAGTAAGAAATTACTATTCCCCTATCTTTCGGTGAAGCAACAAAGACATAACAGATAATTATGGGGCCATTCCTAGAGCAAATTTTTGCATTTGTATCTTCTCTTCTCTCTATGAGGATAAGACTAAACTCTTTTTTCCATGCTTTAAAATTCTTCTCTCAGCCATCACTTCAAAATACATCATAACTCTTATATTGCAGAAAATTTTGTGAACAATGGAATCTTTTCTTCTTGTATGTGAGACTGAAAAAATCCAAAACGTTTTGAAAATTTCACCAGAAATTATATTATCTCTTCTTCTAGTACACATTTTTTTCAGCAATATGGGTTTTATACCCCAAGTTATAAAGGCCTTGTTTTTAGAAAATCCTTCTGTAAGCCCAGTGGTCGGCAAACTGCGGCTCACGAGCCACATACCGCTCTTTGGCCCCTTGAATGTGGCTCTTCCTAAGCCTTAGGAGTACCCTAATTAAGTTAATAACAATGTACCTACCTATATAGTTTACGTTTAAAAAATTTGGCTCTCAAAAGAAATTTCAATTGTTGTACTGTTGATATTTGGCTCTGTTGACTAATGAGTTTGCCAACCACTGCCTTAGCAGATGATCGCTGCCATCAATATTTTATAGATTTTATTTCCTTGGATTTTATGCTAGGTGGATATTTATTTACTTTCTAATCTCAAAACTACCTAAAGATAAGTTGACATTTGTCTGTTTTGTCTTTTTATTTAAAATTTGCTGTTATTAACGCATATTTTCTTTATACTTCATGTTTAATAAGCAGATCTATTATTGGGGGTATAGGGCAAATTCAATTCCTCAGCTAGACACCGAATAACCATGTGGCATATAAGATTCTGACAAATAAAGCCATAAAAATTTTAAATGATCTTTAAGATGAGGATTTTTTTTTCTCAAAACTAGCTTAAGGGAAAGAATTTTCATAGTTCTAAATCTTAAAGCATCACAAGCAAATAAAAATGCAGTTTGATACATTTTACATGTGTGTAGATTTTTATAACTTCACTTGTTATTTTGGAAGATCTCCTGAACAAGAGATTTTCAGAAACAGGCTAAATTTTGATGGGTATATTATAGATAGAATTTAAGCATTGAATGAGTGCTTCAGTTAATGACCTTGAAAGTCACTTCCATCCCTGAGAAAACTTCTATCTTCATCCTATCTAATAACAGAGAAACATGGTAATTAGCCATACCTCCGCTACCCTTCCCATTGGCTAATCAGGGCGATATGCAAATTAACTGCCAACCAAGATAGCGGCCGGCAGCCAGGCAGCTTGAAGCGAACAGGAGGCTTGCTTGCTTCAGTGATGGAGGAAGCCAGGTTCCCCGCCTGCCTTGCCGGCCTCTGAGCCTGCAGTTTAAGAAGCATTGTTACAAAAATAGAAGCTAAACAAAACCCCAGAAACCTGCTTTTAGCGAGCCGGGCTTCAGCCAGCAGGACCGCAACATTGTTTCAATTATAGAACAAACGCAGATCCCTGCTTTCAGCCAGCGGGGATATCAGAGCTGGAGTGAGCAGGACTACAACAGTGTTACAATTATAGAACCCAAACAAACCAGATACCTGCTTTCAGCAGCCGAGGCCTCAGAGCTGGAGCCAAGCTTCAGAGCTAAAGCTGGCCCAGAATAAAAAAGAAAAGAAAAAAAGGACAGGTTGGGAGCTTCAGTCACCCACCAGCCTGAAAACAGCCCTCAGCCCCTCACCCAGACTGAACAGGCACCCCAGTGGGGACCCCCACCCTGAAGGGGGTGTGACCAGATGCAAACAGCCATCATCCTCTCATCCTCTCATCAACCCAGTGGGGACCCCCACCCTGATCCAGGACACCCTTCAGGGCAAACCAGCCGGCACCCAGCCATGCACCAGGCCTCTATCCTATATAGTAAAAGGGTAATATGCCTCCCAGCACCGGGATCAGCGGAGCAGCGAGGCCTCCTGGCACTGGGATCAGCAAGACAGAGGGCAGCGCCCAAACCCCCTGATTGCCCTGTGGCTCTGTGTGTGACAGGGGGCAGGGCCACAACCTCCCCATCCGTCCAGCTCTGTTCGTGATGGGGAAGGCGCCCCAACCCCCTTATCGGCCCTTCTCTGTGCCTGATAGGGGGGAGCTCCCCAACTCCCTGATCACCCTGCGGCTCTGTGTGACAGGGTGCGGCGCCCCAACACCCCCCCCCCCCCGGCCCTGCTCTGTGTGTGACAGGGTAGAGCCATAACCTCCCCATCGGCCCTGCCCTGAGTGTGACAGTGGCTGCTCCCCAACCCCCTGATACGCCCTGCACTGTGTGTGACAGGGGGCGGTGCCCCAACTCCCCTATCAGCCTTACTCTGTGTGTGACAGGGGGGAGCTCCCCAACCCCCTGATGGGTCCTGCTCTGTGTGTGACAGGGGGCGGTGCCCCAACTCCCCTATTGACCCTACTCTTTGAGTGACAGCGGGGAGCTCCTTAACCCCCTGATCAGGCCGGCTCTGTGCATGACAGGGGGGAGCTACCCAACCCCCTGATTGGCCCTGCTCTGTGCGTGACAGGGGGCAGTGCCCCAACCCCCTGATTGGCCCTGCTCTATGTGTGATAGGAGGTGGCACGGCAACCTCCCTATCGACCCTGCCTTGAGTGTGACAGGGGGCGGTGCCCCAACCCCCCAATTGGCCCTACCCTGAGCGTGACTGAGGGTGGCATCGCAACCTCCCAATCCGCCCTGCTCTGTGCATGACAGGGGGTGGCACCCCAGCTCCCCAATCGGCCCTGCTCTGAGCCCGACCAGGGGCTGCACCTAGGGATTGGGCCTGCCCTCTGCCACCCGGGAGCAGGCCTAAGCCAGCAGGTCGTTATCTCCCGAGGGGTCCCAGACTGTGAGAGGGAACAGGCCGGGCTGAGGGATCCCCCCTCCCCCCTGAGTGCACAAATTTTTGTGCACTGGGCCTCTAGTATTAATCATAAAAATAGTGCCTAATTAACTGAAGGATCTGTGGCCTAATTTGACCTATGAATTGCAAAGAGTTGTTCATACAAATACAACTTTTTTCAGACAAGTTATAAAATCATATCAAATAAAGAGGGAATATGCTAATTGACCTTCACACTGTCACAAATATGGCAGCACCCACAGCCAATAAGGAGGGAATATGCTAATTAACTGTCCCACCCTCAAAGATGGCGGCGCCCACAGCCAAAGATGGCTGGTAGGGGAGGGCAGTTGGGGGCAATAGTGCCAGCAGGGGAGCAGTTAGGTGTCAATCAGGCTGGCAAGGGAGTGGTTGGGGGGATCAGGTTGACAGGCAGAAGCAGTTAGGGGCAATCAGGCAGGCAGGCGAGCAGTTGGGAGCCAGCAGTCCTGGATTGTGAGAGGGATGTCCGAGGGGTCCCAGATTGGATAGGGTGCATGCTGGACTGAGGGACAACCCCCCAAGTGTATGAATTTCATGCACTGGACCTGTAGTATAATTATAAAGTTATTAAATAACTAGAGGCCGGGTGCATGAATTTGTGCACCTGTGCGGTCCCTCGGCCTGGCCTGTGGGGTTGGGCCAAAACCAGCTCTCCAACATCCCCCGAGGGGTCCCAGATTTCGAGAGGGTGCAGGCCAGTCCAGGGGACTCCACAGGTGCACGATTGGGACCAGGGAGGGATGCGGCAGGTTGGCCAGCCAGGGAGGGATTGTGGGAGGGCTCCAGGGCATGTCCGGCCCACCTTACTCAGTCCCGCAGCAGCAAGCTAACCTATTGGTCAGAGCATCTGCCCCCTGTGGTCAGTGTATGTCATAGCAAACAGTTGAGCAGCCTTAGCATATCATTAGCATATTATGCTTTGATTGGTTGAATGGATGACCGGACACTTAGCATATTAGGCTTTTATTAGATAGGATAACACTATACAAAAACAGTTTAAAGTTTAATTTGTCTCACCAGCAGCATATTGTTTAGTCACTTATATGCACAGGTCAAATTAAATACCCTGCTCTTAGGTGGGTGTCATTTTAAAAACTCTGATAGGCTAGATCACTCAGTCAGCTGCAGCAAATCAACCAGCTGTTAGTGAGGAGGTGTAGTTTGGCAGTTAACTGCAGGTGACTGGGAACCAAGCCTCCAGGCCTGCCTATGATTCCAAAAGTGTGGTAAGCCTTTCATGCCTTCCTACGTCTTCGATGCTCCTTCAGGAGCACACTATTTTTAAATCTATCTTACAATCACTATGTAACTTGTACATCTTTAAAAATAAACTGTGGTGTCTGGGACAGGAGTCAAGTCGCTCTCACATGTTCATGTTTTCAGTTGACTCAACTTGAGTTATTAGTACTGGGGAATCACTGAGTTTCAGGAACAAGCAATTGATTTGGGATAAAAGATTTTGAACTTTAAAAAGCAATTAATTTATGTTTCCTTTCACCCACAGGTCTACCCACGGATAGCGCCGGCATTTTGGCACTACCTGCGGGTAGAAGTGAGTAGCGAGTGCTTGACTTCTCCCACCCTCGCTCCTGGCTCTCTGCGGGTGTGGTCTGATCTGATGTGCCCAGTTTGCTCAAGATGCAGCTGCCATTCTGTGTAAACATGCTCTCACACCACCATGCCTCAGAATTGGGTCAAAAATCCAAATCACTGAGAACACAAGTGGAGTTTAAGATTAATCATCCTTCTTAATAAATTTCCAAATCAAGACCATATCATATGTATCCTAATGATAAATAACTAAGTGCTAAATTATAGAAAACCATAATTATACCTCTTTTTAATCAACACTTTTGATATTCTGGGCATATTCCTCAGCTTAACTTTGTATGCATCTAGGAAAAAATAGAATAACTGCATCATTTGCATTTTCTTCTTTTCTGTCCCTAGGAGCATGAGCAGCTCACCTATTCCTCCACGAGGTCCAAGGCCCCCAGTGTCATCATTACAGGTCTCAAGCCAGCCACCAAGTACATATTCCATATCCGAGTGAGGACCACAACAGGATACAGTGGCTACAGTCAGAAGTTTGAATTTGAAACAGGAGATAAAAGTAAGTTTCACACAAGGTATAGAGTAAGATGTTCATTTAGTACCATTCCAATAGTGAAAACCTAATATCCTGATATTTAAAAATCTAATGTCCCAAAATTTTAATAGTCTTATCAAACAGGATTCTGTTCATGCAAATGGTCATACGGCCATATCGGTTAAAGTTTTACTGTTATCCATGTAATATGACCCCAATATGTCTCTTCATGCAGAATTCATCACTTACACTATAACACAGATACTCAGTAGGTGGTGTTAGCCTAAATGGTCTTCAGTGTTGGCATCATAATATGAGGCTAGTGAAAACTTGGGAGAGAATAAAGTCATGAGAAAATGATTTTAGGAGTTATTTCAATATTTTGCAGCTTTGGCTTATCTCAGTTACACCATTGAAATGCACATTATAAGTTTAAATGTAGATGCATGGGCTTAATTAGAAATTCAAATTAGTTCCATAGCCCCAACTCACTGACAACCAAAATGGGAGATGAGGGACTGAGATATTTCAACATCACATAATGTATGTGTTGAAATGTCTTACTCATTCTAAGCCCACCTCCACCACTGAATTCTTTTTTGGGCTTTAATATTCATCGTACTGCTCTCTTTGTATATGGGTGGCTCTTGCAATGTTCCTGATTAGAAAAATGTCTAAGTATCTAGTCATCATTGATAAGAATTCAAAAATAGAGAATTTATTATAAAATTCTTTATGAATAATGGCAATAATAGCTACCATTTATTGAGCCTCTAAAAATACCAGAAATGATGTGAAGTATTTACATGTATTATCTCATTTAAACTTTTTACCCTTCAAAGAGACAAGTATTATTTTCCTAAATTAACTTGTGAGAATACTAAAGCCTAGAGAAATTGAGCTTTTTGTTTAGATTCATGCAACTGGTAAGAAACTAAGCTAATATTTTAGGGAGGTGGTCTGTACTCTTAATTGCTCCATTATCTTGCCAAGTCCTTTCATTTGAATTATTAATAAGGCTAATGGTAAGACCACTAATTAGGCTACATTTTTTCTCTAGTTTATCACTTCCTCAAAGTGAAGCTACTTGGATTTCAAATTCTGTGATGGAGCAAATGTTTTGTTTGTTATTTTTATGCTGATGAACAATATTGATCCATAAGAAATTCTTTGGTATAACTATATCTAACAAAAGAGTGAAAAAAGCACTGACTTGTTTAATTAAGAAGGAACACAGTGTTGGGAGAGTAAACTAATGAGTAAAAAGAATATTTATGTTTAACATCAGTGATATTTATAATTCTGCCGGAGACTATTATCTTTTCAAGCTAGAAATTATTGGGACAAGAGTGTAATTATCACAAAGCATAGCTCCATAATAAAAAGCAATATTAAAATACCCATTCCTGCTATGTTCTGTTGACTATTTTTTTCTGACCACATGCCAAGAGTTAGACTAGGTACAAAGCTAAGGATGCAACTCAAGGCAAGTTTGCTCCAGGGAGAAGTCTCATCATCGTCCTATCACAGCTATATCTATTTCCTCCCTGCACCCAGTTCTCTTACTATATTTTACATAGGAAGAAATTAACCTAAATTCTCAAAAGTATGACATTTTGAATATTATTTCATTGAGTTAGAAATACACTCTCAGACAAACTCATAGGCCTAAAGCTAAATAAGTCATTTGTGTTCATCTGGCACTTTTAGACAAGGCAATCCAGTTAATAAGAAAACAATAAGGTCTGATCTAAATTTGATTTGATTTTAATTCTAAATTTCAACTCATACTTTTAGATGTTATATAAAAGAAAATACTTTGAAATTCCTTAGCTGAAAAGTCCTATACTCACCGGTTGGGAGTCAGCAGTCCCAGATGGACCCAGTGCAATATTTATTCTTTTGGCAAAAAATGTAGAGGACACATGTGTGCCATTCTCTGAGTGAAGTCCTGGGGATAAAAATAATAATAAGAGCTATTGCCTTCACATAATTTATAGTTTAGATTTGTGAAAGGAAAATGAAAAATGCAATATTGTATGACATGTACTACCATAGAGTTAGGTAAAAGGGATATGAGGCATAGAGAAGTGGCCCTAGTTCAGCACAAATGGTTCACAAAAGGTTCCTGGAAGATGAGAAATGAGGGCTCATTCTTAAAAGGGGAGTAGTAAAGAAATAGCAAGAGTACTAAGGCCTGAGACAGCATGAAAAATTAAAGAAGAGCAAATAATTTGGTATGGTTATAGTGAAGAGACATGGAAGGCAAAATGGTAGGAGCTAAAGGTGGAGAGTTATTTATACGGGGGCGAAAATGCAGGCGCTTTTCTGGCCATGTTAAGGATATTGGGTCTTATGAAGACATTGAGGAACCATAGGAGGAATTTAATCAGGCAGTAACGTGACCAGTAACAGGTGTAGACTATGCTGAGCAATTTTCACAAATTACCATATTAATTCTGACAAGATTATATCTATTTTTAGAAACTTAAGTAGCTTTCCCCAAATATGATAACCAATCAGTAGATGTGAAGGATTAGAACCCTAGAACCATCTGACAAAGTCAGTAGCAGACAGCAAAAGCCACTTTCTAATTACTGATTTATAAATGTCATGAAAGTGACTTTTATTAGACCCTGGAAGAGACAGAGTGTCTGAGAAGTATCTGAAAAATGTTTGTCTAAACCTGGAGTTTGGGAACATAGAATGGCTCCCAAGTCCATTTGCAGCCTAAGGCAAAGTCATTTAAAGGATCACTTTTTATCTGGTTTCCTTTAGATTTCATTTTCAAAGCATGCTGTTTATATCCTGGAGAGAATTTCAATGACTAATGTCATAGTAGGATATGGATAGGTTTACTATAAATTCATAGTAATTTATTATAGGTCCAATCTACTACATCAGTCTTTTTCTCTTCATACCCTCCTAGCTCATCTTTAAATTTTTATTGCTTTGTTTCTCAAACATTGTAATGTTAACTTTATTATTATGTTATCTCGTGTATATTCTGTTTACTTAGCTAACTATATATATATATTCATACACACTCACACACACACACACACACACACATATATATATATATTAATAAAAGGGTAATATGCTAATTAGACCAGGAGACCTTCTGGACATCCTTCCGGACAAAGCCATGGTGGCAGGGCTGAGGCAGAGGCGGTTAGGGGTGATCAGGCCAGGAGGGGAGGGTAGTTGGGGGTGATCAGGCCAGCAGAGGGAGCAGTTGCGGGTGAGCAGGCTGGCAGGGTTGGGCAGTTAGGGGCAAGCAGGCCAGCAGTGGGGGCAGTTGGGGCCAATCAGGCCAGCAGTTGGGATCAAGCAGGCCAACAGGCAGAGTGGTTAGGGGCGATCAGGCAGGCAGGCAGGTGAGCGGTTAGGAGCCAGTGGTCCCAGATTGCGAGAGGGAGTCCGGCAGTCGGACATCCCCCGAGGGGTCCCAGATTGGAGAGGGTGCAGGCCAGGCTGAGGGACACCCCCCCCCATGCACAAATTTCATGCACTGGGCCACTAATATATATATGAAGTATTTACATGTATTCTCTCATGTAAACTTTTTACCCTTCAAAGAGACAAGTATTATTTTCCTAAATTAACTTGTGAAAAAACAAAAGCCTAGAGAAATTGAGCTTTTTGTTTAGATTCATGCAACTGGTAAGAAACTAAGCTAATATTTTAGGGAGGTGGTCTGTACTCTTAATTGCTCCATTATCTTGCATATATCATATGCCTAGAGATGGGGTGTGAGTTGGGGAGAAGAGTTTAGGTACTCTCTCATTTATTGGCCTGGTTCAATTTTTTTAAATTAAGCAAAATGAAGTGGTTTACAATTTAATTCTCTTAGCCATGCCTATTTTACTTGGTTCAACTTTTAGTTTGCTCATAACAAGTAAGACAATAACATAGAATATGAAATAATTTCTTTTCAAATTCATCATGTTCTTAACACTTGTGCTCTACAAACATAGTGATATCATGGTGTCACTATGGTGGCTTCTCTTGTTCTTTTAGACCAGTGGTTGGATTTATTTCCAGGGTCAGAATATGCTAATGAAAACCAGCTAACAATGTAAAGGTTACTAATTACTATGACTGTGAGCATTATTTAAAAAGTCGCTTTAGCGCTATTGGTTTCCTTTCTCACTAAGTCTATAGAACAACCTCATTTTGGTAGTATAAATGGAGATAGGTATAGGAAGATAGATGCATAAGTAGGTAGGTAGGTAGGTAGGTAGGTAGGTAGGTAGGTAGATGATAGATAGATAGGTAGATAGGTAGATAGATAGATAGATAGATAGATAGATAGATAGATATTCACTCATCTATAGTCACAAAAGACTTTCTGTGTTTCAATGCTGATACTTCATATGTTTGCTAATCTCTCACTGGTCTGAGGGTATAGCTAAATATTATGTCCACTGGCAGCATTCCTTGAGTGCTTAATATGTACTAGCCTTTATATTAGGTGCTATAATTGATTCCCTGGAATGAATTTCTCAAATAACAGTTAACTCCATAATCAGTAGTAAGAAAATAAGAATATATAAATATTCTATGTGGATATTCATGAAAGATAGATGGAAGATAAGTGGTAGTTAGGAGCTGTCTAATATAAGAATTTTTGCAAAAATGAAAATAAAATTCATATTATGCCATAAAGTATCAAACACACACATATATGTTCAATACAGCGCTTTTTGGACTAAAAGGATGAAAAAAACAAGAAATTTTAATAGCTTCATGTTTGTTATTTCTCTTCTTATTTTCTGGAGAAAATGTACTTTTGTCCAATGAAGAAATAGATGATAATTAAAGTTAAAAAGTTATCTACATAGCAAATAATAATATCCATATTCTTATAAAGTGCTTAAAATATATTTGATTTAATCTTTAATAAACTATTGAAATTACACCCCACATATTTTAAAAAGTAATACAAATAATTTACAGATTAGGAAGTCAAATGTTTGTTCTTACTTAAAATACCACCAGATTTATCTAATACTAGAGGC